CCACAGCAGACTGGGGCAGGTCTTGTGCTCAGAGCCTTTGCATTCACCTTTCCCTCTGCCTGCAGTTCTCCTCCCGCTGATATTGTAGCAGCCACCCCAGATCCCTTCAAGCCTTGTTTCCAAATGTTTCTTCTCCAACGCCGACCCTGACCATCTCAGTTAAAATCATCCTCTGGCCCCCAGGACTCTAGATTCTCTTTAGTCTGTTTTGTACGCTGCTCTCCAGCACATTATCATCTTTTTTTTTTTTTTAAAGATGACCGGTAAGGGGATCTTAACCCTTGACTTGGTGTTGTCAGCACCACGCTCTCCCAAGTGAGCTAACCGGCCATCCCTATATGGGATCCGAACCCGTGGCCTTGGTGTTGCCAGCACCACACTCTCCCGAGTGAGCCACGGGCCGGCCCTGCATTATCATCTTTTAACATACTGTATAATTTACTCGTTTGTCTGTTTCCGTCCTGTCTCCCCAACCTCACTAGAATGAAACCTCCCCAAAGGCAAGGATTCCTACCTGTTTTGTTCACTGATGTAGCCCTCGCCACTGGAATAGCATGTGGAACCTATTAAGCACTCACTCTGCACAGGATGTGAACACTGAGGTTGGATAGGAACAGTCAGGTGGGGGGAGTGAGAAGTTAAAGAAAGTCATGGAGTCTAGTCTGAGAGAACAAGGGGTGTGTATGTAAGAGAGGAATGACGAGGAGGCCTCCTAAGCCTTCTTATTCTTGAAAATGGGGAGCGGATCATTTAAGCTTCAGCAGTGACATGACCTGCTTTTTATTTTCAGAAGATCTCTGTGGTCATTCTAGGTGCTAAGGCCTGTGCTGGGCGCTGGGGAGGTGGACACTACTGAGAAGTGGCCTCCAGTGCCCATCCTTCCATCTGGGTGCCTGTGCTGCCCCACCCCTACCCAGGCCGGCTGTCTAGAAAGGCTGTCTGCCATTTGGGGTCACCTGCTCCTGACAACTGTGCAAGGATTGCCCGGCTGTGGGCTGTGGGTGTGAGCCCCAGGGCAAGAAAGATCATAGCTCAGAGCTGGAAGGCCCGAACCCAGGAAAACATGTAGCCTGAGGCAGGGCACCAAGGAGACTTCCAGCCCCGCCTCCCAAGGAAGGAAACCCAAACAAGTGTGACCTTAGGCAAGTCACTTCCTCTTAAAGGATCACTGCCTGCCTCTCACTGATTTCTATCATAGCCCACAACAGCAGCTATCTTTTGTGAGCATTTACTGTACACCAGCTCTGTAATGAAGTGCTGCCTATATATTCCAACTAATTAACACAGTCGTCCTAAAATGGTAGTGATTAATTGCTGTTTTACAGAACAGAAAACTGAGACTCAGAGAGGTAGGGACTTGGGCCGGCCCGTGGCTCACTCGGTAGAGTGCGGTGCTGATAACACCAAGGCCGCGGGTTCGGATCCCATATAGGGATGGCCGGTTAGCTCACTGGCTGAGCGTGGTGCTGACAACACCAAGTCAAGGGTTGAGATCCCCTTACCGGTCATCTTTTAAAAAAAAAAAAAAAAAAGAGAGGTAGGGACTTACCCAAAACTTTCAGTGAGTGGTGGATGCAGCTGGAGTGAGGGGCAAGGTGGACAGGCAGGAGATGGTGGTGCAGTACTTACCTCCATGGTGGGTGCTGCTGGTTGCCTGCCCCTGCTGATGACTGGCGTCCCCCAGGAGACCTGGGGCCGGGCAGCGATGCTTGCCGGGGCCTGGGGGCCGGTCCCCCGCAGGGCTGGGGCCCAGGCCCCTATCTGCAGAGCTAGAGTCTTCCTGCTCACTCGGCTCAAATTCTGGGATCTGGAACATACTCTGGGCTGTGGGGACAAGAAAGTAGGTAGTCAGGGCACAGGTGGGGCAAACGGTGGCCGTCGGAGGCGGGGACAGGTGCCCATTGACTCCCTCTCCCACCCTAGCTCCCCCAGGCTCTGCCGGCCTCCCAGGCCCTCATCTGTCCGCTGAGTCTGGCCCGGCAGGGAACTCAACCTGTCTGCCCGAGACCTAAATCTCCCCTCGGAGCCCCGGCCCGCCCGTGGTGACGGCACGCAGGTCTCACCCCAAGCCCGATCTCGAGGCCCCTGACCCGGGCCCGCCGCCTCCCTTCAGTACTGAGGGCGCCCGGCCCTAGTTGCCTGGGCAACGAGTACTGTCACCAACCCGGCCCAATCAGCTCTCGAAATGTCATTCGGGTTGGCCCGGAGGCGGGGCCACTCCAGGCCTGGCCCCGCCCCCGCCGCCCGACCTGCTCCTCGCCCACCACCTTCCTCCTGCGTCCTTCCCTTGTCTCCGATGCCCAGCTCCCGGTGTCCTAACGCCTTGGGCGTGTGTGGGAGCAGGTGAAGGATTCTTTAGAGTTCCCATTTGGAACCTGGAGGCCCGCTTCTGCTGACAAGACTTTCAGCCCCTGTGGCCTTAGTTTTCCCCCCTGTACAATGGGGATAATGACACCTCCCTCAGGAGCCAGTGTGAACGTTGTAAAGGCAGTGGTGACTCCTGTGGGGGAAAACACTTTGCAAAGCCGTACTTGAAGCTCAGCCGTCGGATGCAATTATCATTGCTATTGTTACTACTCCGCCTGTACTAGGTGACAGGGTCAGGGAATCCCGCTTCCTCCTCTTCCTCCCTGGCGGGGAATCCTCGCGCCACTCGCGTCAGGGACAACTCCCAGCGCCATCTCGGGAGCACTCGAGATAAGAGAGGGAGCCTCCTCCCTGGCAGGATGACTGCCCGGGCGCGGGAGAAGGGACAGGGGCCCCTGTGAGCGTGAACCGTAGGATGCGCGGGGCTTCGTGCCCGGCGGGCGGCCGGCCAGGTGAGCGGGAACGGCAGCGGGCCGGGTCACGGGGCGACGGGACAGCGTGGGGGCTTACGAGGCCCTGCGGGTTAAGGCCCGGGGGGGAGGGGGCGGGGCCCGGAGGCCATCTTGACTGTGGGCGGAAGTTTCCTTCAGAGACCTGGTTGGGGGGAAGCCGTTGCCGCCCCCAGCCGGGCGCCGCGAACCCGATTTGGGATGGGGTAGAGAAGCGTGGGAACTGGTGGTACCCCAGACAAG